TTACTTTGCTTGGTCACTATTGGACAACTTTGAGTGGGCTGAAGGCTATACCAAGCGCTTTGGTATAGTTTTCGTGGATTACAAGAATGGTCTCACCCGGCATCCGAAATCTTCTGCATATTGGTTCTCAAAGTTCTTGAAAGGCGATGAGAATAAAACTGGCAAAGAAAACTAGATCCCTATGGAAGTGGATCCTCTTCCTCCCTCTTACTCAAGCCTAGGTTTTCATATATGATGCAGCATGGTAGTCCTGTAGTTGGAGATGATGCATTAGGTGAGTTTGTGCATCACGTATAGATTCCACAGGGATGCCACTCTCTCTATGTAGCACCTATTATGTTTTGTGGTCCAAATTAAGTATTTGAGGGCACTTTGTAATATCACAATAATATGAGGACCCTAGTACCAGAAGAATATCCTATTATATAAATTGTTATATTATTATGGATGTTTGTGGATCATGTAGATTGTAGTATAACAAAACTTCCAAACATGGATGCCACTCTGTCTCTATGTAACACTTATTATGTGGTCCAATCTAAGATTTAATTTAAAATTTTATTTTATTAAATATTGACGCCTGAATTTAGAAATTAATTATATATTCTAATATAATAGGTTTTCAAATTTATGTATTAATATTTAATAATATAGATTTTTTAATTTTAAATTATACTTTAATTAAATTAGATTTCCAAATTAGTTTGGTAGTTTTAGTTCATGCTTACTCATTCGGTATCTACCGCCACAACGGAAAAGCACTTTTTGATGTGAAAACTGTGAGAACAAGAGTTCAAAACAAAATAAATCAAGAATAAATTTCGCCCCCTTAACCTATATTCCTGACCCCTTCCTGCAGGAAATACAGAACAATTTTTTACAAGATTTGATCCTAAGCAATCCCACCACTGAGCAAAATCTTTCGGAGTCGATTAGGCAACAACAACCAGAACAAGTTCAATGTCTACTGCACATATTTCGTCTGCAGATTCGCATACAAGAATAAATTGTATTCCTGAAAATAGTAAAATGCTGCACCAGACCCCGCGCATGCCAGAAAAAGAGAAGCCGACAGAAAATATAGAAAGTGAAGGTAATTAATGATCTTCTAGAGTGGGAAATTTAGAGAATCCTTGAATATATATAGGATGAGTTCATTCTAACTATTTTCTTT